GGAAGGGATTTGTTTTGCGATCGACTTGTTTGCGATGGCTACAAGACAAATTGTGATACAACTTCCGTTGATATATTGAGGTAGCAAATGCGATTGCAGGGTAAGTAAGAACAGAGGGAAGAGGTTCTTCTTGCGATTGTAGTATGCATGTATGTATGTGTGTATGGTAATGAAATCGATTTATTCATATGATGTGTTGTTGTAAGCTAGAGTGATAAGAGAGGGTTGGAGTGGAGGTGGGACAGTTCTTTTGCTTTGCGATGCTTTGCAGAAAATGACTGGGGTTAGCTCTGTTGCTAAGGTGACAGTCATGGTCATGTGGGGAAGTGAAGTATGAAATTGAACCTGAAAAGAGGAAGGCTGAGGGTGTGGATGCGAATGAGGCAGCACCAAGCCTATCTGAGATTGATGAGAGAAGGCTGACAATGACTGTCTACCTTCTACCTACCTAGTACCTACTCATCCCATCTACTCGTCGGGAGCTGGAAAGTAAAATTGAACGTGCCATTATATATAAATCAGAGAAAACAATTATTGCTCTACTCAAGGAGGAGGTAGCATGTCATTGCCTACATAGGTATGTATATATGAAGATCATCAAACATCAACATACCAACAAATTTCTCACGTTTCTATTGCTTTTTCGTTGCTATTATATCACTGTGTGTGTGATAGCTATTATCTCTTTGCCTATGCTAGGTATCTCACGCACCTACCGGTATCATATACCTATTATTCATGTACGATGCACCTCTCTACCTAGCATCCTTGGCTCTCTTCAAGCTCGGACAATGGGACCCATTTGGGTATTATTTGATGTATTATTATGAACCATACATACCTAGGTATGCTATGAACCATCAGGGCTTCATAAGCTTAAATTGTGCATTAAATCCCTACCTGGGTACCTACCTACTACCTCGTAATGACCCTGTCTCAACCCGACTCAAGCCATGTCCTTCGTATGTAGCACTATCAATCAACCCTACACAGCTCACATCCACTGTACCTGCGAGCCTACCTAGTGCTACCTAGCTACCTACTAATCATCTCCCAATACCCATAACCCCCGAGCGCACCCCCCCCCCCACCTCAGACCATCAGTTCTCCTAATCAACGATAAATACCCACAAGGTAATAAATAAATTACCTACTATTCTCCGGAGAACTGAGCTTCTATGGCGATTGGGAAATGAAATTTTAATAAAAGATCCGCTTTATAAAAGCAGCTCTTGACACGGTCACTCAATCTATTATCTGTTGATCGGGAGAAGGAGAGAGAACCTTTAGAAGCCTCTTATCCTTTCGCAGATACTAGATACAACACAATTCGTGCCATCAGAAGGTAGTTTATCAATCGCTTTCCCCTTTCCTTTTCTGCGGACTTTGCGTACCTTGCGTTTGTTTACAGGGGAAGCCTGTTTGTTTACTTCGAGCGTCATCTCCGTTTTTTTTACGAATTCATAAAGCTCTGGCAAGATATGATTGTTGATTGAATATATTACTTTCACGACTACATTCACAAGCATGGACAACACTCCAGTCAACAAACCAAGGCCATCTGGTCTTCCCAGACCTTCGCGTCTTCCGCGGCCTTCAGCCTCGGGGGAAAACTTGCGGCAGCAACAGCAACCTTCGCGGCCTTCGAGTACTATAAGCAACCCACGTTTGCGAACCACACTGTCAAGAGATCAACTATCTGCACCAATATCCTCGAGACAACGTATCACAGCCCCTGCTGCCGGCCATTTACACCCGCGGCCAATACAGCCCAAGACAAGCTATAGTTCCTTTCGAAAGCCGCCAACAATTGAACAAGAACAATTTCGGCCAACTTCAAGTGAGGATGAGGATGTGAAGGAACACAGATTCTCTCCAGTAATAAGCGATGATGAAGAGCTTTTGAGTGGGAGCTCGTCTTCTCGACCTTCCCTATCCGAACGAACGATGGAAACATTACAGCATATTCCCCCATCGCCAGCTGTTCGGAGGAGGCAATCGAACTTTTTCAATCCCTCGGCTACTCCACGTTCCGCATCTCGCGCGAGTTCATCATCCAGACCTGGATCCAGTTACCAAAATGATGGGTTTATGAGACCACCATCTCGCCGTTCTGCCAGCTCAAGGCCAACATCCAGTGCGGATTCTGCTCAATCAATTACTGACTTCCGGTCAGCTTCGGGCACCTTCCGACCTCCACCTACGAATTATCAAGCTTCTACACCGATGAAACGACCAAGTCCTGCAAAGGCACTCAAGACGCCAACGGTTCGAAGTAGCTTCAGTCCTGGAAGCATAGCACAGCTTCCATCCCCTGGTAATGCGTTACAAAGATCTCCAAGTCCGGTCAAAGCAGAGAGACTGCCTACAATAAAATCTGGTAGCAAGACATTCAGTGCCCGATCAGTGAAGGAGCGTGCCTCTGTAACTGGTCTGTTTCGCAAACCATCAATGCCTTTAATGGACCAATCGTTTGAGGCGGACAGCATTGGTTTTGGTTCAAGGAAGAGGTCATTGAATTTCAGGGATATTCCTCCTCAGTCTGTCACATCGGCGCCTAGTGAAGATGCTACAGAGAAACGCACTGCCATGGACAACATCAGCCCCATTGAAAGAAAGAGGTCAATGAACATTAAGAGCATTCCTCATAGACCTGTGACATCAGCTCCCAGTGGATCTGCTTCACCCATCAAAACGGAAGAATCTGCTGCGCCGAAATCATCTTCATCACTTAGAGATCAGATCGCGAAAGCAAAAGCAGCAAAGCGAGCGGCAGCAACCGCAAGTGCCGCGAGTAATCATGAAGAAGTACCTGTAGTTCCCACGGCGTCTTTTGATTTCGGCCTTTCAGATGACCCTTTTAATCAGCGTATTGATCCAAACGCCAGTAAAGGCCTCCTCCGCAAACGAATTTCTGCTGCACGTACCGATGGACGCCTCAACATCGCTGCCATGGGCCTCAAGGAAATGCCTGAGGAGGTCATGTCCATGTACAACCTTGATGCACTTGGGGATCAGGGTGGATCATGGGCTGAAGCTGTCGATTTGACTAGATTTATTGCCGCTGACAATGAGTTTGAAAATCTTGGTGACAACATTTTTCCGGATATCGACCCACGTGAAGCCATGGAAGATGATGATTTCGAAGGCAACATTTTTAGTGGCCTTGAGACATTGGATCTGCATGGCAATCTGTTGAAAGAGATTCCTGTGGGTCTACGTAGACTTGAGAATCTGACATCTTTGAATCTGGTATGTTGATTAGCTAATATTTGATGCACTAGATTGATCAGTTACTAATTATCAATAGGCAAACAATAAATTAGGCAATGAATGCCTCCCAATCATTACACAAATCAGTTCTTTGCGGGAACTCAAAATAGCAAACAATGGTCTCTGTGGGACTTTAAGTCCAGATATAGAATGTTTAAAAAACCTCGAAGTTCTAGAGATACAACACAACGCTCTTGATACGTTTCCGGAAACGCTATCACAATTAGATCGATTGAGGATTTTGAATATCACCGAAAACAGATTTCAATCATTACCTTTTGACATTCTTAGCCGTCTAAACCTTATTGAGCTCATCGCTGTCAAAAATGGCCTCGTTGGTATTCTCGTAACAGGAGCTGTGAGAAGCCTTCCACAACTTCAAGTTCTGGATGTCACGAGTAATGCAATTACTGCTCTGTGCGAATCAGAGCTCGAACTACCTTCACTTCATCAGCTGAGCTGTTCCTCAAACCGCATTGCAACTTTTCCAGATTTGACTTCTTGGGTATCTTTACGTACACTTACAGCTGAGGACAATAATCTTTCTGAGCTGCCAGCCGGATTTGTCGACCTCCTCAAGGTCAAAAATGTTAATTTTAGCGGCAATAACATCAAGGTTTTGGATGACAGAATCGGTCGAATGGAAAGTCTTGATATCTTTCGAATAAGTGGAAATCCACTGAGAGAAAGAAAGTTTTCTGCAATGTCCACCGAAGACCTGAAAAATGCTCTACGAGCCCGAATTACACCAACTGAGCAAGAGAAAGACGGGTTCTTGTCTGAGCCAAGTACCCCAAGCATCTCCAGCCGACCTTCGTCTTCTCATTGGCCTGTAAAAGAAGGGGGGATTCTTGATCGATCTAGCACGACTTCTCACTCCCTCAATCCAGTGATAGCTGCAGAGGTGGCTGCACGGGATACAATCAGAGTTTTGCACTTGCAACATAACCAATTCAAAGAGATACCCAGCTCCATCGCTTTCTTTGCATCTACTCTCACCTCCTTGAGTATCGCGCACAATGAATTGACGAGCGACACGTTCCTAAAGGACGACTTAGATCTGCCTGCACTGAAGGAGTTGAACCTTAGCTCCAACACCTTCAACTCTCTACAACCACTCATACAGCATCTGAAAGCACCCAATTTAGAGAAACTTGATATCAGCTTTAATCGTCTAACTTCTTTACCTGTTCTGAAGCCTCATTTCCCTAGCTTGATATTCCTCATGGCATCGAACAATACGATCCGCGAATTGCTGCCGGAAGCAGTTCAAGGCTTGAGACATTTGGACTGCAGTAGCAATGAAATAAATAGTTTAAACTCGCGAATTGGGCTCATGGGTGGACCAGATGGGTTGCAGACTTTGAATGTCAGTGGGAATCGATTCCGTGTGCCAAAATACACGATATTAGAGAAAGGTACAGAGGCTACACTTGCATGGTTGAGAGATAGGATACCCTCTGCAGGTATGCCTTTAGAGGAAACTAATCCGACAGATGTCGATTAGAATGTGATTTATTGTATTAGTCTAAATTATCAAGGTACTTAAATGGGCGTTGAATGATATTGGGTGGAGGAGTAATATTCCCTTGTGGATGGGGAATTGGTTATCATATATCGTATAGTTTTGTAATCAAGATTGTCCTATGGACTATATGTATGTAGTATTTCAACGCTCTTTCAAATACCTTGTTCATCTCAAAATCATGTTCATGGCCATACATCTGAGAAGTAACCTCCGAAATAGGTCACAGGAGAATAGCAGGTAGGATTCTCGAGAGGCGACACGTGACATCGTTGAATTTTGGGCCCCAATCCAATCGCGACTGACTGACGAGCACCAGCTGTCCTCAAATCAACCCAATCCCGAGAAGAAAGCAAAACCACAACTTTCCTTACGAACCACACTCCTTTGCCCACCCTTGAGAATCTGCCAACTCATACACGCATCACACACCCCGAAACCCTAACCTTATAAAACACATCAACCCCGAACCTGAGCAATCGCACACGGAATCGCAAAGATGACGCGCGCACAGCAAACTATCTCTATTGGCTTACTCGTCACTTCGGTATGTTCTCTGCCTCTGATTGTGTGAATTGGTCATCATGTGTTGGGATTATTCTGTGTAAATTTGCAAACACGTAGAAGGATGTTACGACAGATTCGGGGGGCGAGATTGGAATTGGAAGGAGAAATGGACGAATTATCACTGATTCGAGGGATTCACTTAGTTATACCTGGCAGTTTACTTGGAGTTAATATCTCTTCCTGGAAAGGTTTCTGAGGAGGTTATTCCTGTGGTACGTTATGTTTGCGTTATTATTTTATCTACACCCTTCACCTATCCTCTTTTCTCTTTTTTCCCCTTCATGAGCACGCACCGAGGGAAAGGATATGGCTACTTGTACCATAACCATAACATCTCTTCCCGCTCACGATGCCGAACTTCCTCTTCCTGAGAACTGGGAGAAAGTTCCTCTCTCCCCTCTCATAGGTGATTCGACATACGAGTCCTTTCCCTTCCCTCCGCCCGCTTCTCCCTCCTCGACTTTGTTTTCCCGTCGTGATGGCTCGATCAAATCGATAGCCACAATATCCCTCGTCGCCCACATCAAGAATATTATCGCTGACTTGGTATTGTTCTTGCGCAAATAGTTGCCATTCTGGGTGTTGGTTTCGTTTGGAGCGTATCTTTTGGGGAAGTTGGGCTATGGCGTTTTTACGTTTAACGATGTGCCAAAGGCGCATGCGGAATTGATGGAGGAGATTGAGTTGGCGAGGAAGGATCTCAGAACGAAAGGTGTGGATGTCGATTAGAAGGTGAAGGACGACGTGTTTCGGGCAAGGAGAGGCAGCGCGAATGGATATTGAGTGTCATATTGGCAGCGGGTCGGAGTCGGAAGGTTGAATGGATGGAGTAAATTTGTCGAATAATTGAAGGGATATTCTTTACATTGGCGTGCTGTTCGTGAAGGTGCCGAAGAATAAGTGAAGAGTGTTCTACAAGACCAATCCGTGATTGAACAGATCTATCTACGGTATGTGATATACAGACACCAATGAGATCTACCGCATTCCCTTATGCGTCTGCGCTCTGAGCGTCTGGTTCTTTCTCATTTGTACTCTAAAGAAGCATCTCTATTTGCTTCAGGTGTATCAATATTCTTCTAGTACTTCCTGCTCTTGTTCTTCTATTTGATACCATCTAAGTGGCGGAAAACATTGGTCTCCATCTATCCCCCTCTCCAAATATCCATTATCCCGTCGTGCCTTCTCTTTGATGCTTTTCCTTCAACTTCTTTTCTTGCGCCATAAAAGCTCTTATGCCAACCGGAATTCCCTCAAATAAATTGTCGCCATTCCCTTCCCCTCCTATATCCCAATTTCCCTCACTCCCACCACCATCATCATCCATACTCGTAGCCGCCTGTGCCAAAATCCCCGGACTTTCTTTCCTATTTTCTTTCTTCAACGCTCTATCCGCATCTTTCTTAGCAGCAGCCCATTCCTCTATTTCATCCCGATAGCGATCCCAAACACAATTCACACACCCACTCATACAACAATTATCTGGTTCTTCTGGGCGCGGCGGAATGAGTACTCCTGCAATACGTTGGCTTTTGCGCAAAATTTCAGAGCGTCGTTCTAAGGGGGAGGATAAACGAGAGGAGAAGAGAATTGCGGGTTCGGGGTCTGCGGCCGATTCTGTAGGAGGAGGAGATGCAGTTATGGGCGGATTCGAGGTAGAGGCAGTAGTGGGGGGCGCGGACGATATTTCTGGAGAAGAAGAGGAGAGGAGTAAGGAATAGTAGTCGCCTACAGGGTGCGCTTGGTGGGCTGGCTTATTGGATGTAGATTCGTAGCGTAAAAGGGAGGGGAGCTGGCAGACTGAGGGTGGAAGTTTGAGGCGTTGTGCTAGTCGGAGTAGGGTTCTTTGTCCCATGTTGTATTGGCCGATTGTTGTATTGAGAGATATACTCTGTAGAGTAATTGGTAGACTTTATTTTATCGTGAAATCATTAGAGAAGTAGTTGGATTTTTAAATGGGCTGTTAATGTTCCGTAGGTGAAGAATCGTGTGGTGGGTGCATTAATTATTTTTTGGGATTGAAGCTTTGGAAAGTTTTTGAGGAACGTCATCGCTGTGAATTGGAATGGTCAGCATCCGCAATAATATTGAAACTTCACTCCACATTCACGCAGCAACATTCGTTCCACGTTTAAAATTGCAATATCAATTATGAGTGTCTTTCAAGAATTGTTATAACCCGAAAAGACGATATGAATTTATTAATGTAACCATATCTGTTTAGTCATGATTGTAGTGAAGTGGTAACTTTATATTTCTAGCTATCTCGCAAAACCCCTCCCGTCGCGTCCTCCCAATACGCGATCCCAATTAAAATAAATATTGCATCACAACAACGTATTTTTCGCCAATTGGGACAGCAATGGGATAGCACAAGACACCCGCGGATATGGCAGATAACACCCCTTCACGTCGTTCGAAAACTCCAATTCCAACTGCGATTGTCCCACCAACTCCGAGTCGCATCCCCGTCCTTTCACAATCGTCGCGTTTTCCTTCATTTGCCTCTCCAACGAAGGCAAGCTTAGCACGCCACAATCCTCAAATACTCGCGAGGGCTACTTCTACAGGACCGGAAGTCGGCAGATCTCCGAGTAAGGGGAGAGTACAGAATGTTTTCAATAAAGCGCTGGGAAATACACCGCAACGAGAAAGAGGAAGGAGCGTCACTGCTGGTGCAGAACGGTCAATTCCAGGGTCGACTAGGGATGGAGGAGATGATGCGATTACTCGGACACCCACGAGAGCTCGATCGATTGGAGGTGGAATGGCATCGAAACCGAGGAGATTGTCAAGATCTCCGGCCAAACGACCAATTGCAAACGAAACTCCAAGGAGCAATTTCAAACCCGCGGCAGAATTTGAGAATATACAGGGAATCACAAATCCATTCAAAAAGACGGGATTAAGAAGATCACCAGTACCGGAGCAAAGCAGCCAGCCTACGGCAGAACCGCAAGAACAATCGCAGATTGATTTCAATCCTTTCAAGAAAACTGGGCTGAGGAGATCACCACCTGCTGCGGTACCAGCTTCAGGAACAACTGTGCCTCAAACATCCATAGAAATGGATGAACCTGTTTCTACCACTCCAAAAGATACAGCACCTCTACCTGTGTCTACTACTCCAAAAGATTCAGCTCCTTTACATGCCTCTACTACACCAAAGGACCCAGTACCTGTATTCCCTTCAACGACACCCAAAGAGCCGACACCTGTATATGCTTCAACCACACCGAAAGATCCAGTACCTGTTCAAGCTTTGGAGCCTTATCTAAGGGCTCCAGAAGAGGTGGTCATTAGGAGCCGAGGTTCAAGTCAACTTCGTTCTTCTCAAGCTTTTGGGTCTATTAGTGTTCCAGGTACACAAGTTGCACAATCAGCTGAATCTGCTTTGCCAGCGAGCCCCGCCGAAGCATCTCATGCTTCAGAAGAGGAAGAGATTGTGCCTGACTCCCAAACCGCAGATCAGGTTGTTTCTGCAACTCCAAATGATCCTGTACCACCTCAACCACGGACCTTACAAACAAATGACCCTTTCGTAATTGATGTGCCTCAACAACAGGAACCAGAGGACGAACCTAAAGTTCCCCAGCTTCCAAAGTCTGATGATGTGAATCCATTGATGAGCGATGACTCTCCCACCGAGCGTAAAGCGCGGCAATTATCTATGTCTAGGCCAACACAACGACCACTATTTACATTTTCGGAAAATACATTTCTATCTCCATCCAAAGCAAGGCAGAAACCAGCAACACCAGAAGAGCCAGACTTGCCGCCAACACCCACGCAGCGTGGTGTCGCAGACCCAGTCGTCACAACACCACCAGTTGGAATCCACAATACCCCAAGCAAGACTGCCAGAAGGAACAAGGCACTAGGCGCAAGGATGAAGTCATCTCCATTGAAACCACCTGCAGAACCTCCGCGAGAAGCAGAGATATTAGAAGAACCGCCGCCTAAGAGACGAAAGTCGGCTAGATTTTCAATTCCGCATGATCCACATGCAGCCAAGAAGAAAGTGAGAGATGATCTTCTCAAAGAATTACAGCAGTTACAAGCCGATGTCAGTTTAGCTAATCAGGAGAATGAGAGGATACGTTTGCACTACGAGTCAAAAAGTACAAAACCGCTAAGAGCATCAAATCCCGAAGAGATACTAGATTTACTTTTACGATCAACTGCTGTTGAGAAACAAGAGATACCAGAAAATGTAAGCGCTTTGAAAGCCACTAATTTTTTCTTGCCATTTTCTGGACGGCGTAAAGCCCGACAAACGGTTATACCACCAATCCAGAAGCCTCTTCCATCCCATCTTCCTATAGCATTGGAAGATCCACTTCCGCATTTGCAACTATTCAGTCATCTGACATACACATCGAACATTACTCTCCTTCCAGCTGCACCCATTTCATCTAACGAATCTACTACGGAACTTCTCGTACCGATCTTACAACACCATCAAATCTCTGCATCTCATCCTTCTGGACTCTTCAGCGCACGCCTTTCTATGATAGTCGATACATCTTCTCTGACCATATCCTCGCTTAACGTGGATTCATTAGATCCTAACGCGGAGCCCGAACTCGGGCCATTTGTCCGGCGACGAGCAAGTGGTGATGGGCCGCACGCAAAAGATATCGGTACAGTGTGCTGGGCGATGGGGAGGTGGACCGAAGTATCCGTGGCAAGAGCGAAGTTTTGGTGTGACGCTGAAAGAGAATTTGGAACTGCGGAAGCTAGGAGGAAAAGTATAGAGAAGCAAGGGAAGAAAAGAAGAAAGAGAAAGGCAATTGGAGATGACGAGGTAGATGATGGGGAGGGAGAAGAAAATTCTAGAAAATGGACGAGAAAGGACTTGTTTCGACAGATGGGACGGACGAATATCGTTCTTGATGGGGATGATGTCCAGATTCGAGTGGGGTGGAAGATTGGTTTTGACTGGATCGGTGATGTAGAGAGTCATCTGGATCTTGATATAGGTTTGCCAAATAGCTGTAAGTACCATTCTCCCAGGCATCTCATCGGTAATTTCGTGATACTAACACTCGTGTAGGGCATAAACAAGACGATCGTAAGAGTTTGGGTAAGATTAAAGATATGTTCGGAAAGCTAGTCAAGGAAAAGGGACCACTGGGAGCTCTGAGAATTACTGTAGGCCTTGTCATGGCGGAGTCTTCGTGATGGTAGGAACTGAAATTAATATTATCTTTTTGATACCCTACTGATTGATATGCAATACTATTCGACTGATAAATTGAGGGGTTTATGTGAAAGTCTAGAATTAATGTCTTAGAAACCTTTATGGGGAGGAAATAACATGCTAGTTAGTGAAGTAAATATACTTTGCAATGACTTCCAGTGAAGGTCTATAAAGTCTGCCTTTAGTGCCTGTGAGCATGACATATAATTCCAGTTTGCTTTAAATTTGATCGCGCTTCATAAACAAAACTCCGTATCAAAATGGGTGGACATAGGTTACTTGTAGTGCGGGCTTGTATCTGGCGATGTTCATGATTTTATTTATTGTCTTTTAGTCTTTTAACGTTACAGTATTCTGCAATTGTAAGTTTAGTCTAATGAATAGTCGAGCTGTTGAACACTGAGTTTCACTGAATCATAATTTCTAACACATAGCTACTTATTGTGCTCTACATACATGACACAAATGACTCGAGGCTTTTTAAAATTACAAGCTGAATTTGTGTATTGATTTGATTCGAGTTTATAACTGCCAATTCTAAACTTCCTTTAATCTAGTATAAAACTCGCTTCCAGATTTTTTAACCACAAGTCTAAGAGAACCCTATGATTTTCCTAGGTTGATACAACTCATCAATGCTCGCTATCTCTTCCTTGGTTAACTCAAAATTCACAGCATCGACCGCCTCTTGAACCCTCTCAATCTTTCCTATTCCAACGATAGGCGCGGTAACATACTCCTTGCTCAAGCTCCAAGCCATCGCCACAATCGCCATGCTAACTCCTCTCTTCTTCGTAATCTCCTGAATCTTCTCATTAATCTTCAGGTCCGACTCGTTCAACTCATTCCCCATGAACTTCCCATTCATAGCCTTCCCTCTGTCACTTTCTGCAGCCTGATCGTGAGGTCTGGCTAAGTAGCCCATCATAATCGGACTCCAAGGAATCATACCCATACCAAATTTCTTCAAACTCGGCACCATCTCCCTCTCTTCCTCCCTATAAGCCGCATTGTGCAAATTCTGCATACTGATAAACTCCGTCCATCCATTTAATCGCGCCGTATATTGCATTTCCAACAACTGATGCGCATACATACTAGACGCACCAATATATCTAACCTTGCCACTTTCCACCACATCATGCAGGGCCTTCATCGTCTCTTTGATTGGCGTGCGTGGGTCAAATCGATGGATTTGTAGTAGATCGATATACTCCAGACCCAAGCGCTTCAAACTCGCATCCACGCTATCGAAGATATGTTTGCGACTCAATCCATAGGCATTAACATATCCGTTTGCATCTCTATCCTCAGGTGTCATCTGAAGTACATTTTCCCATCCTTCTTCCTTTCTCTTGCCAACCGGCGCACACAGTTTTGTGGCAACAACGATGTTATCACGAGGAAATGCATACTTCTTGATGGCGGCACCGAGAATCTCTTCGGATGTTCCGTTGCTGTAGACATTTGCGGTATCGAAAAAGTTGATACCGGAATCATAGCAAGCTTTGAGGATAGGGAGAGCCTGGGCTTCTTCGACAGCCCACGTTTTGAAGCTTCCGCGACGATCGCCAAAGGTCATGCAGCCTACGCAGATGCGGGAGACTCTGAGGCCAGATTCACCAAGATTGGTGTATTTCATTAAGTTCTTGGCCATGTTGGAAAAGGGGTTCTTTTGCTTGCTGATATCTTGTGTGCAGCGATGTAGAATGAAGTACTCCTTTTACATGGAAACTGATGCCTTTATACACACTTGTGATAGGCAAGAGGACTTGACGTCACCCGGAGTTTAGACTTAAGTCCAGGCTTTAGTGCCCAAAAACTCCAGTTGTATGCAGGCTGGCGGGGGCAAGGATTCCCCGAGTAATGTCAATTACGGTAGATACCAAAAAACACATTGGAAGATTGTTTTGACGGCCAGGTTTTTCATGAAGAATAGTCATTTCACACGAAGCTTAATTTTAACACATCGTTTTGGCCTGCCGATACCTCACCACTGCGAATCTCCACTTTCCAGTCGATAAAAGAAAATGGCAGGGACAAGTATGGAGTTAGGTTATAATATCTTTGAGGCCGAGAATGAATAGAGTTACAGGATATATTCTCGTGTAACAAGATCTTCCATTGACAAGAGAACAAGGGGATTAGTCCTATTCATTCCGGCGACTAGTGATGTACGGCGCCAAAATACAGAATAAGCATGTGTCTGATAGAATCAAACAGCAAATATAATGGTAAGGTCGCCCAGTGAGAAAGATGGAAGTCGCAGAATATAATTTTCCAGCATAACTTTTGCTCAATTATTGTAATTGCACCAAGAATAACGGTATTCTAACCGAAGGAGAATATAAAAACTACGCCACCCGTATAGCGCCTAGTAAACTCCACGCATTTCATTCAGTCTTTGCCCGCTAAATCAGCGATAGTCCCTAGTTTCTTTCCGACCTGAGTAGCTGCTCCAGCTCTTCCACCGGGCGTTTTTGCTGCCGGTGCAGCAGGGACCTTGTGGATATTGAATGGTGAGTTCTCTGCTGCGGTATACGCATCAAATGAGAACAGGGAATAGAGGTAGAGTCCGAAAAATGCAATAATATCGTGGAGTAACCTATCAAAGCTGAATTGTCTTGCCATCGTGGAGCGCGTAGGCGCAGATCCGCCCAGTGTTTGTCCTGGGCTGGAGAAGGATGGCTTTGGTGCACCGGCAAGCTTCACAGCATTCTCGATGGCGGTCGTGAGCTTACGAACATCTGCGCCTTGAATGGTTTCGATGACCGCGCCGGATCGAAAGATGAGGAAGGTTGGCATGCTAGTAGGATTATGAGAACGAGCTCTAGTAAGTATCAAAGGGCCTTGCTTACGCTCTAACTCCATATCGCTGAGCTATGGACTGCTGGTTGTCTACATTAACTTTCGTAAATGTAACACGATTTGGCTTCGAGTGCTTGGTAGCTAAAGATTCATAGGTTGGGGCGATGGCTTTGCAGGGTCCGCACCAGTCCGCATAAACTGTATGTATTGTTAGTGATATGCATCTATTGCATTGGGGGAAGTCAAATTACAATCGGAAACAACTATAGTTGATGAGCCCAGCAGTTTGCTAAACTGCATGGAAGATTCGATATGTACCGCCATTTTTATCTAGTTATACTGATATCTTGCAAGTTCTGAAATGTCAAGTAAGTTAGGTCGTAGGAATGTTCGCCTTGTTGCTTCAAGTGGAGATCTGGTCTGGTCTAGTTCTTTATCGGGCTCATGGACTATCAGATTCTGCCGCTTTATCGGGACAACCTTTGACCGCCTACATATATATTTCGGAAAGAAATCCAAAGTTTCCAGATTATTTACAAAAATGGGTAGAGGAGAAACAAACGCAAAGGTATGTTTTCTTTGATATCACTAATTGGTAAATGGATACTGACGAATTTAATATTAGAAGCGGAAGCGCCAGGCCGAAGCCAATGCCACTGGGAATGCCAATTCCACTGTCAATGGACAAACTTCTAACGGGAAAGTGACTGCTCCTGATGCGGTTGATACTTCTAAACCTACAGCTGTATTTCAACCCAAGAAGGGTCGAGATTGGACAGTTAGCGTTGCTTTACCGGGAAGTATTATTGCAAAGTATTTTACCTCTTCGAATAACAATGAATAAATCATGCTAACTTTTTCAGCGCTCAAAGCCATGATCTAAAAACATCTATGGCGGGTCATATTGCCCGCGCCCTCGCAGTTTTCTGTGTCGACGAAGTTATTGTTTTTGACGATGGCAATGCTCGTCCTGCGAAAAAGCCTAAACATCCACCCACTCATTCCCATAGTTCTCAGCAGAAGCCGCCTCTGGAAGACGAGTACACGGCAAAATCAGATCCCGATCATTTCCTTACCCATTTACTCAGCTTTCTAGAGACACCTCCAAATTTACGAAAGCTTCTATTTCCAATGCACGAGAACTTAAGAACGGCAGGTGCATTGCCTAGTATAGATTTACCACATCACTTGAGGGCAGACGAATGGTGTATGTATAGGGAGGGCACTACGTTACCTGGCGCAGATGAACACGGAACATTTGTGGAAGCAGGATTAAGAATACCAGTTACAGTGGTGGAGCAGATACCAGCAAATAATAGGGTCACTCTAAAATTTGACGCGGAAGGGGAGAAGGCCGCAAAAGATAAATCCCGTGAAGTCATTACAGCAGAAGCTGTGAGTCCAGAAGAGCCAAGAGAAGAGGGTGGCTACTATTGGGGATGGAATGTTAGGAGAGCCGGATGTCTAAGCGACGTTTTCACAGAATGCGGATATGATGGCGGCTATGATATGACTATTGCAACCTCTGAGCGAGGCGTTGATGTCCAAGATCTATATGATGATGAAGAACAAAAGGTAGGGAAGTTCAAGCACCTGCTAGTCGTATTTGGCGGCGTTGCAGGCCTAGAAGTGGCTGTGAAGAATGACAGAGAACTCCAGAAATTGGGTGTTGTGGAAGCAAAGGATGTCTTCGACAGATGGATAAATGTTTGTCCTGGTCAGGGAAGTCGAACTATTAGAACCGAGGAAGCTGTTTGGATAGGTCTAATGGGCCTGAGACGATTAGTTGTTAACAACGAATAAAGTGTAATTCAATACCCAAGGCCTTTTGTTCATGGCCTCAACTATCGATCTTTGTTATCTCAAATTAAACATTAGGCGGAATTGTGAATACTCTACGGCGAAAATTAGAGGGATCGGAATCTTGAGTCTGCATCATAGGACTACTCTACTTTTAGACAATCAGACTAGGGGCATGCTCATCGACCTTTGTCTTTCTTTGTCCCCTATTTAGAATCTTTTCGACTTGCACAAATGACTTGTGAAGCTTGTTCCCTTGCTTTATCTAACAACAATCTTCACTTATAAATTTTTTGATGCTTTGTCTAAGAGAGAAAGAGGAGATTCTTTTGACAAGACTTCATGCCTTTGTTACTGCTATTGCTATATAGGACCGCTTGACCTGGCAACATCATTTCCAATTCCACCGAAGCAAAAGTTTCAAAATCATATACATACTTCAAAACTCCGTTTTCTACGAACTACCTCAAATTACAAAAACTGCTCATCACTAAATCTACCACAATGCAACTCATCAACTACCTTCAAATCTTAGCCGTGCTCTCCCCAGCACTCGCCCTCCCAGCTCCAGCCATCATCTCCACAAATCCCAACACCCTCACCCCCATGTGCATCAAGCAACTCGACCCTAAAATGTGTATCCTCAACTGGAACACCAACACCATGGCCGTCAACAACGATCTATCCAACCCGAACAACCTCGTTGCTTACGCCCGCGCAACCGTTTACTCAAATACCTGTACCACGATCGCAGCCATCAGAAACGGGCTCGTCCAAAATGTCTTCATCGATGCTCAGGGATGGAGCCAATCGCTGATTCTCCAAAATGTCTTCGATGAGGTGAAGGGGTTTAAGGTTCCTCGCTGGAGCTTCAATGGAAAGGCGTACACGGTTAATAACTGTGCTTGTTTTGATGGTCGTTTGTTGGGTGAGCCGGAGGATACTCATGTTTGTGAGTGTTCATTCGAATGTGCATAAATCTATCATTCATAAGATGGTTAGTTGAAGAGTAGACTTTGAGAGTCTACTCTTGCGTTTTCTTTCCGCTACTTCATTTCTTCATTTCTTTCTTTCTTACGTTTTTTTGTACTTCTTTATCTGAGAAGTATATCACACTCATTTGGCTTTCAATTTTCTTTTCTTTCATATATTTTTTCTCTCTAAATAAAATATTTTCAGTCACTTCAATCTATACTCTCATATCGTGACCTTTTCTCAGTGAGACTACAACTGCTTCTTCTCCCGTTGTATTTGGTGATACTTCTTTCCTTCTCGGTCTCTGCTCATAAATTCCCAATAAATCATACACAAATCTAGTTGAGCTCAAATCTACTCTTTTCTAACGAAACCGGTTCATTACGCTTGCATTCAATATGCGAGTTTATGTAGATAGTAGATGGAAGTAAGCGTTCCTACCATAATACACAAACATATAGTTTAGGTTCTTAAATCCGTCCGACCCATAGCTACTCAAGTGGACCCCAGACTTAGTAATATCCAAGTTGCTCGGATAGATATAGCGACCAAACAGACATTCACAATCAAACTTCATATAAGGAAGGAAGATGCTCCTCAATAATCGAGGTAGATTGCATTGTCTAAAAGTACTATCACGATCACTATCACGATCACTCTCAGAATTCAAATCACAAAGATAGAAGACGGACCCGAGCCATAGCATTGCAATGATAAATCCAAACACAGAAAGAAATCTTCACTATCGAAGAGGCTAAAGATTGAAACCCTCATCTTCGATTTCCTCATCTCAAGCTTCCTACATATCGATAGCCGTCTAAGCGAGCTTTATTTCTTCACCTGCCCCTTTCCCACGTAACCTATATCCAGGAACGAAAATGTGCCCTGCGAGCTTGTAGACATTTACACAGGCAGTTATAGATTTGTGAAGCCAGGTCACAAATTCTCTCCAGCACCAGAAGCAATCTAAATTCCATACTCATCCATCCATCCATCTCCCACCCTCCCTCCCTCCCTACCCACCAGAAACATCTCTCTACCCACCAAGAGCGCCACCCATCTCAATCCCCCCGTAGCAAGTCCTATAAAACCCCAACGAACTCTCGTTATAAACACCATCAGGATTCCCACAAAGACCCCCCTCCTCTAGCTAGCAAGCTCGTCAAGTGATCAAAGCAGAAACATAAAGTGACGTTAAAACCTAATCATAGTCTATCTCCCATATCCCGAGATGAAAAGAAAAGACCCTACCAAACTCCCTAGCAAAGATAGCAAACAAGACAAAAATGAACCCCTCATCCACCCCGTCCCTTGCTAGCATAATTCTTCCAAGTCGTTCGGAACACTTGATCGCAACTTCCTTCCTTCCCCAAGCCGTAGCTACATATTGAGCGAGCTGACTCATCGCAACTACCACAAACAGAACAAATCAGCACTTCCACATTCCGCTTCATCCATATCCCATTTCACCTGCACTTCTTTCCACCCCGTAACTCCTCTCCATAGCCGCGCATAAAGCGCAATTACAGTGAGAAAGGGGTTGTCGAAAAGAAGAATCCAAGCCGTTGCGCGATCTTGTCTTGCTCAAGAAGAGTTCGATCAAGATCGCCGACTAGATACTGGTCTTATATTTCATCTTTCTTACCTGAAAGGTTGAAAGAGAATTCCTAAAAAGTTTATCAGTACATCACACTAGGAGTTAGTTTATTGAGTTGCAATCAGTATTTGTTTTAGGACAGCATAAAAGAATAATAAATTTGTATTTGCGCGTAATGTAATGTATTCGTATCATGACTGTAGAGATCGATAGCGCCTCGTCTGTTTGTCATTGAAGATCCATGGCATTTTGACTTTGACTTCGTGTCGATCATCTAGGGTAAGGTCAGTGGTCAGTTGAGACAAATCATCAGAACCGGTCCAACTCAAGTCTGCCAAAATAAAGAGAAAATAAAGGAAAGCAAAGGAATCTGCGAAGCTATTTTACAAGTCAATGACTTTTCGTGCATTGAACGCCAATTGGGTATCTTGATCGACTTTAACCATACGCCTTGATAATAAAATAACCACCCCTTTGTACTGCATACTCGGCGACCTGGAGAAATGCACCGAGAAATGAACTAAGTGTTACACGGCTCTGGGCCTGAAGATTACGTGAACTCATGATTACTCATCTTCAATTGGACCAACTATTTGTTCATGTAGGTGGGCAAGGTGGTCTCTCTGAAGCTTGAAGGATTCGTAGTTCCCACCAATGATACATCGAAGAAGACTTTGGTTTTGACGAGTTTTAAGGTCAGCGTGTTGCAATGTGTTCATGCTCTGCTGCAAAGCAGAATAGGCCGCAGAAAAGCATTCTTGAATTGCAGGGGTGTTTTTTGAACCACCTGAGATATCATTGTCGGATCTGTTTGGGTCGATTATAGAGAATTTCGGACTATCAAAATCTCTGTAAAGACCGCGAGGAGCTGAAGACTGGTGATAAATTAGTATCATGACAGAATCGATCGAGAGGATTACTTACTTTCGGGAAAAGTTTCGGTGGGTTAACAGAAATGGCAGTGGTACGCGTGTTGAACTCGTTGCCATACAGGTCGAGGAATTCCATCAAGATCTCGCCGA